CATAGACGATGATGGGAACCAGGACAGTGATGTCAGGGAAAGCTCGTATGCAGAGGTTCACCTACAGAAAACACAAGAAAACTAAATGAACACGCCTGAAGTTCATCATGAGGCTGATTTAAAGAAAGAGACAGGAATCTAAATTTGTATTCAAATGACTTATTTGCCCCATAGAGCCTCAATGAACAGCAGACTGGATTACAACGAAATAAATGCATCTTTCTACTGAGGTAAAACAGCGTAGGTTGTCATTGAAAAAAATACGTTATTGAAACAATTTTAAAAGTTTTCCTTCATGTCTGTGCTTTTAGAGACAATTTATTTTTCTTCGATGTTTCAAAGTTCTGTTTTCAATGACAACTTTCTGTTGCCCTTTTGGCGTCGAGGGGAGGAGTGTGAAAGGGGGGCCAGGAGAGCCTTATTTACATATCATAATGTGTGTGGCCGTAGAGCAGCAAGGTATCCCATGATGCATTTCACACCAACCAGCAGCAAAGGCCCAGGAGAAAACTCTCAAAGGTAATAGAAGTTTTTTGTGAATACCACTATTATTGTGCCTGGATAAACCCAGGTCCTCCCTGACTGCTGGGAGGCTCCACAGAGCATCAGCAGCTCCATCCTGGACCTTCTGACGGAGCATCTTCAGCAGTGTGATGCCGTTAAAGGAAACTGAAGGCTGATCAGCGCCACTAAATAACATCAGGAGGAAGAGAGGCACAATGTTTTTCATCAGTGATGTGTTTTGTAAGAGACTTTAGTCCATCCATCCATCCATCTATTATCTATACACTGCTTAATCCTCACTAGGGTCGTGGGGGGGCTGGAGTCTATCCCAGCTGACTAAGGGCGAAGGCAGAGGACACCCTGGACATTAAAATTTTTTTCACCTGTGTTATAAATATGAAATGTTGAAGCCAGAATTAAATGATTATTATTATAAACATCTGACCTGTTTTGATAAGACACTGCTATGCATGAAAAGGTTTTACCACTTGACAACCAGAGTAAGAGCTCATCTGTCTTTAGGTTCTGAGTATAGCAGCTTACATGAAATATTTCATGATTATATTCCACTGATGATATCCAGTGTGTGACACAGGTGAAGTAAAGGTAATTACATTACTGGACAGTGATGTTTGTGCACCTGTCAGACTATAAATGTCTGGAGGTTTGAGGACAAAGGGCAGGTTTTTAGGTAAAATGTAGGCTAATCCATTTCTTAATATTAAAACTGTAAACCCCATCCATCCCTGTTTATGAGGTATATTCAGATAAAACATGTGGTCCTATGAAACAGCCCTGTACTACATGGTGTCCTCTGCAAGGTTTAATAATTCTTCAGTAATCACTTTCTGCTCAATCCGCTGATGTAACTAAGAATAAGACGGTACAGTTCATCACAAACTACAGCTGTCAAAAATCAACGCCTCTAAAACATTAAATAAAGATTGTATAACGATCATAGAAACTTCAAAATTTATACATATTCATTTTTTTCATAAAACGTAAAGAGGCAGGGCTGTGTCGCCTGAACTCACCCTCATTTCAGTCACTGACCTGCCGATTCTGGAGGAAGGATGATGTTTGCTCCTTGATATGCAAATGATATGCAAATAAGGTGCTCTTGGCACTTGTTCAGACTCCTCCCATCCACGTCAAAACAGGGACAGAAAGTTGTCATTGAAAACAGAACTTTGAAACATCGTTAAAAAAAATCAATTTAAAAAAAAGTCTTTCAAAGCACAGACATGAAACAAAATCTTTGAAAACGGTTTCAATGACAAATTCGTTTTTCCAATGACAACCTACACTGTCTCTGTTTCAGCTCCATATTCTTCCAACACCTTATAGCTATCACAGTCAACCTGTCTGTGGTACCAACCTCGATTGTGTAATCAACCTCTATGATGCTGCAGTTTGAGATGGTGAGGAATGCAGACGAGGGAATAGTGAGCTTTATCTCAGTGTGCACGTCAGAGGTGTGAGCGGCGACGCGCTCTCCGCTCACTGATTGAAAGTGTTTGACAGCCTGAATGTGGGTTTCCCTTCCCTGGGTATAGAAAGTCTGTTTCTGATCCAGCCTCGCCTTCAGAGTAGCTGATGCAAATGAACCATTGCTAATGTTGCAAAGTATGTTTACAGTTTCGCCTGGTGGGAGAGCAGAGACAGAGTTAGGACGTGGTTGTTTCATTCAGACTTTTTAACCTTAATATCCTGATTGTTTCATCACACAGACACATGGATGGAAAAACCATACCAGGGACGAAGGCTTTCTTCTCTGTAGTGGCTGTCATTGTGATAGGACCCGAGGCACACCACAGGCAGCACAGCGTCATTCTGTTCGTGCCTGAGAGGGGAGCCTGCAGAAAAACAAGACAGGGACAATTAGATTTAATCAGTTTATTTTGTATCATCAGTTAATTGTTTAGGCCCAAAGTATAGAGAATACAGAGAAAGGTTCACCACAGAAATGCCCAAATCTGAACTACATAGTCACTGTGTGCAGTATATTTACAATAATAGTACAATAGGACAGTATATATATCGCTATATTAGTAAAGTTATATCATATACGTTGCTATAACAATCATTACAGTGTAGTGATACTACGAGATGTGTCAGAAAAGTTTCAGGACTGGTGTCACAAAAGATATATTTCAAATCCAAACTACAAGTTTTCCCCTTCAAAGTAATCCCCCTGGAGTCTAACATACTTTCCCAGCCTTCTCTGCCTTCACGCCGCCATGTGCTCCTGGAAGGATTCTTCCAGGATCCTCCGCAGCTCCATCGTCACAGCCATCTTGATGTTGTCCACATCTTCAAAACAGGTCCCCTTGATGAACCTTTGAGCTTGTGGAAGAAGAAAACATCCCACGGAGCCAGGTAGGGATGAGTAGGGAGGTTGCTCCAGCACGGTGATGTTCTTCTCAGCCAGGAACTGTGGGATGCTCAGGGCATTGTGAGCAGGTGCGTTGTCACGGTGAAGCAGCCATCACTTGTCCTGCCACAACTCTCACCTCTTCTCATGCACTGAATGAAGCAAACGCCGCAGGATCTCTTTGTAGACGGGCTGGTTGATGTTCTGAAGGGAAAACTCCTAGTTTGGGTTTGAAATACATCTTTTGTGACACCAGTCCTGGAACTTTTCTGACACACCTCGTATACTGGTGTACTCTAACGATTACAAAGAAATCAACATACCGGTCATTCCATCTCAATTCCCCAAATTTTCATAAAAGAAGTTCACACCTAACTATCTCATATATTTTTCTGTGCATACATAGATTATTAAGTAAAATGAGTAAAATCTGGAGTCATAGGTAACATTAGTTTTAAAGTGAAAAATTCTTGAAGAGGAGTGGGATCATGTCCATGTTTGCGCTGTTTTCTTCGTGCCAGTCTGTGGAGCAATGTTTGAGGTGCCATAACTTGAGAAATAAATAATGTTGCTAGTGTCCTCACTGATATACACCATCATAAATCTGGTTTGTATTATTCTGTCAAGCAAGGTTTTACCATTGAAGACCATATGAACACAACAAGAAAACAGTGCCAAAATGGACATGACCCCACCCCTCTTGAAGAATTTTTAACTCAAACACTAAAGTTACCTATGTCCCCAGATTTTCTACATGGTCAACTCAATCAATATTGACCTTTTTTTTTTTAAATGTCAAAATTGAAGATGGTCAGACGTGGTGCATCTGGTGAATTGAGGCGGAATGATCCGTACTGTATTTGCTGTTCAAACAGAAAACTGCTGCAAATCTATTGATCAAACTGTGGCTTTAGAATACCACTGAGAAACTAACATATAAATGTAATTTTGAATTTTTTTCTAACTCTCCCATCATCATCTGTATGTGTATCCACTGCAGCTGTGAGTATACACCATTTGTGCAGGGTGGTGCAATACCGTAGTACTCCAAAGTCCAGCATCTTTTAAACTGGATTTTACTTCATTTTGCCACTTTTTCCTTTGTACAATCACTACACAGGTACTTAGATTAGATGGAGTCCTAACTAGAAACACACACAAACTGTCATTGTCAGGCCTTTAGGTTAATGTAAGGGATCACTGTGTTGGGTTTTCAGTAAGTCCTGCTTTTGTGCTACATATTCCATTATTACCGTGCTCAATGACATCATCACAAAGAAGAGCTTTTCAAACATTATGACATGTTAGTGCAAGAACACACATGTGGTTGAGCACGGTTACAGAGCTACCACGAACAAAGTGTCTGATGAACAGAAAACAGGAAATGACTCAGCTTCTTTTTTTTTTTTTTTTTCGCCCAAAAGTCTCCCTGCTGGGTTCATGTGGACACTTACCCACAGGTCCGGCACGTTGGTATTAATGTGGTGCACAAAGTTCAGCTTTGTCTCAAAGCTCTTGGACATGTGCCAGGGTCTGTAGATGTCCACTTTCAAGGTGTATACTATTTTCCCACCAGGGCCGTGGAAAGTGGAGGGGAATTCTCTGCATGGAAAAAGAGAGAATTAAAAAAAAAATCCCCAAATTCTAACCATGTGATGTAATCTGAAAACAAAACAACCAGCATGGTAGGAAACATGTATGTGGCATGTTGTTGCTCCTTAAAGGTTATGACAATCCGTTCACATCAGCACTGATGTGTCTCACCAGGTGTCTCAGTGACAGACAGGAACAATAAAAATCACAGCCAGAGAGGAAGCTGCTCACACTCACCCATGTGGGAGTTGACATGCAAACGGATACACATGGGTGCCGGGGGACAGTTTGATTGTCCCACCGATTGCTGCAAGAAAAAAAAAAGAAACTCAGTA